AGACAAGAGTTGTTTTGACAAAAAAAACAGCGACAGTAGGTGGCTTCAAGCTTCTCGTCTCTCTGCTCCTTGACTTACCTATATTGCCAGGTCTTACGCACAAAGATCTGCTCGACCTTGACGCAACTGTGCGTGCGGGTGTCAAGGTCAATGAGGACGCCAGCAAGGCTTTCAAGGATATCATAGAGAAACTGCGCACGCTCAGGGCGGTGGTCCTCGCCAAGGAGAAGCAACAGCAAGAGTCCACTGGGTCACGATCGACGGGACAGCGGCCGGCCCGTGATGTGTATGACTTTGCCGAAGGAGACTCGCCGATGCCTTCGCCGCAGGCTAGCAGTTCGCGGCGGGCAGGGGGTGGCAGCAAAGGCGAGCGAGGTGACTCGGTGCCACCCAAATCTCAGGACCGGTCGACACCAGTGGTCAAGGCAGGTAGTGCCGAGCCGCAGCCGGGGACAGCAGCAGCCGCAGCAGCAAACGCGATGCGGTCGAAGCAGACATTCACCAAGGACGACGAAGTGGCCTTCAAGCCGAAGCCGGTGGGCAACGAGCCGACGGAGTGGATACTAGGGATCGTGCAGGACGTGCGCGGAGACGGCAAGTCGCGGCGCTACAGGGTGCTGGATGCGGACGTGGACGAGCATCACAACCAAAAGGACTTTAGGACGAGTGCCAGCAGCATGATCCTTATCCCGAAGGAGGGCACGAAGCTCCCGCCGCTAGAGGAGGGCAAGGTGGTGCTAGCGCTGTACCCCGCGACAACCACGTTCTACAAAGCCGAGGTCATTGGGATGGACGGCAGCGAAAAGGTCAACCTCAAGTTCGAGGGCGAGGACAGCAGCAATACGGTGCAAGCTGTCATGCGCCGACACGTGGTTGAGTATCGAGCGTGAAGGAGCAGAGCGCGGCAAGCAGATGGTGTATCCGTGCAAAACCAGCGCATCTCGAATTTTATGTATCGTCTATACCATGGGTTCGGAGATAATGCTTTGGCCCAATTCCCCCTATTGGTTCTCAGTGGCACTGGTGGACATTGGTACACGGGACCGCGTCTATGTTGGCTCGGGCGCATAGCATTGATAAATGGTCCAGCGAAGTGTTAGTTTCTCGCACTGCTCCGATGTACAAGGAGCGAGATGCCGCGTTGCTTGTACGGTGACCATTATTTGTTATCCTGCTTAATATCTACAACCTACCTTAGAGTATGGATACATGTTGAAATGAAAATGCCCAACGCCTCAGGGCACTGTCGAAACCCGGCCATAAAGCTACCCAAATAGGTGTCATGCTAATCTCGGGCACTTCAGACTGTCTCGTCCATTCCGTTTCAAGATGTTACCGTCACTGACTGTAGCAACTCGGCAGGTAAGACAGGACTGCGGTGAGGAACTGACTCTGTGCGACGGCAATTGGATGGAGAGACAACTTGAAGGTCAATTGATTGTCTTTGGGTGGGTGGTGGAATATTGTAACAACAGAAGCAGCTGCAGAGTCCATCATTTCGGATTCGAATTTCACCAAATTCTCCTTGACGCCATGTACACGAATGACGTGCCGAGCTGTCCGGTATCCAAGCCCCTTTTCTCTCTCGAGATGTCTGCACAACTGGATGGTGCACATATCATATCCGAGGGGCGGGAATTGGACGGGCGACTCCACTGGGGCTTTGACCAGATGGAGGCACATCCATCATCACATGGGAGATGTCAGGGGCTGCACTGTCCACTTACCTTCGTGGCATTGGACTAATCTGTAGTAGTGAATAGGTGCAGATGTAACGGTTAGGCTAACGGGAATCTAGTCAGATTCAGAGACTGGATGTGTTCAAGAGTCATTGAATCACTTTGGACATCGAAGAGATTCGAACGAAATGCAATTTGAGACGTCGCAGCAGTAATTTGTCTCGCAGCAAGCACGCGGCATGTCCGTGCTGCCGTATGCGTGTCTGTCTTATCATCTCCGGGTTTCTGCATGTCTTTAGACGTGCCTCAGGTTGGTGCGAGTCGAGATGGGTCGTGCCGAGTCACACATGACCCTGGAAACCTGAGTGTTTCAACTTCCAATTCCGTTGGCGGTTATGTTTTACTACAGTACCGTAGTGTTCCTGATGTGTAAGGTATCGCATGTCTCTGGCGCTCGAAGACTTGGCCAATGCTTCTACTGCAAAGACGTACGGCTCGATACTTTGCATACGGCAATTAAAGACAATTGAATGAATTGTATTTCGTGAAATTGCGCTGATGACGATACCTACTACCGCTTGTTTGTTTTACCTCTCCATCTGCTGCATGCCCCCGACGACCTAATCAATGGTTAATTGCCCGTCATATCAACCCCGGGCCCCCACTCCCATTTGCCCAATTTCCTTGCGACTTCAGAACTCCATCACATCTCCTATTTTTTTTAATGCACTCGCGTTTGTGTTGCGAACCTCGACGCCTTCTTTCGCTCGCTATCACTCTCGATTCGACGACGCGTCTCGACACGATCAGTTCGACGCACACCACGCCGTGACATTCACTAGACACTTGCACTCGCGCGCGACCGACCCTATCTGCGCTGCTGCTCTCACCCTCGCATCGCTCCACACATCTCTCATCCTTGTTCTCCTGCATCCTACCGAGCTGTCCACTCTAACTCACCTCGACGGGCACTCGATCTCAATCTCCCGCGAGCCTCAATCGTCGTTGCCCCCGCTGTTACCGCGTCCCCGACCCTAGATAGTCGACTCGCAGCAGCGTCTTCACCTTTGCGCAACACGACACCCCGACACCCAAAACCCAACACTCACAATGGGGGGCCAACTCTCCAAGATGATGGGCAAGATCTTCGGATCTAAGGAGATGCGCCTGCTCATGCTCGGACTCGACGCCGCCGGCAAGACCACCATCCTCTACAAGCTCAAGCTCGGCCAGGACGTCACCACCATCCCCACCGTCGGCTTCAACGTCGAGACCGTAACCTATAAGAACGTCAAGTTCAACGTCTGGGACGTTGGCGGCCAGGACAAGATCCGTCCACTCTGGCGCCATTACTTCTCCGGTATCCCCCCCCTTCGCTACAATTCAGCCTTTTACCCATGCGTGAAAGTATCATGGCTAACCCATACACTTCCGACATGAAGGCACCCAAGGTCTCATCTTCGTCATTGACTCCTCCGACACGGCGCGCATGGACGAGGCGCGCCAGGAGCTGCACCGCATCATCAACGACCGCGAGATGAAGGACAGCTTACTGCTCGTCTTTGCCAACAAGCAGGATATCAAGGGTGGTATGTTACTCCAGCTCCTTCCGGCACCGAGATTAAAATCCTAACTAGCCTGCACTAGCTATGTCACCCAAAGACGTCACAACTGCGCTCCAGCTCGAAAAACTCGGCGGAAGGGGCTGGTACGTTGTGCCCAGCTGCGCCACCACTGGCGAGGGTCTACTCGAGGGTCTTTCTTGGCTATCAACCCACATCAAGGCACAGCCCGCTCCCGTCAAGAAATAGGAGCTCTAAAGTCGCCATACTATGATACCCAACTTATACGTCATCGGTCTCGTCTGTATTTATCTCGGCACTTGTCTTTGACCCTGCGAAAAACAGCTACACTCAGACACAGCCACCGACTCGCTTGCTCTGGATCGTTTGTACAACCTTTCTGTCCACCTAGATAGGTTCCTTGGCCGAAATCAGCAAGCGATGGGACGGCCGCGTGGAGACCTCTCTCTGTTTGAGCGTGTGTGCTTTTGAAGGCCGCGATGAATCAGCAGGATCGGGCACAGGAGACAACGATCCGAGATTCCAACAGCGTCGCTGCTAACCTTACTACCATTATTATTCCTAGCTGCTGCAATGATACCCTAATCTGTCTTCCAACCGCGCTACAGCTGTCAACTGCTTCTAGTTCAAACAATTACCTCATGTGGCGAAGTAGACGAATGGCCAGGAAACCAGCTTTGCCGAGTACAACTTCATTTGCAACCCGAAATCGACAGATGACCGAGTTTAGCATCCTATCAGCCTCTTCACGCCCTGCTGTAACATCACTAGATCGACCACGTAATTCCACGAAACGATTCGACGTCACGCCTTCTGTTTTTATAAATGCGGCTCTCGACACTCACGACACGACATGCACGGACAAACAAACAACACGCAGCTGTTTCTGGTTGTATACCATATTGATATTTGTAATAATAGGGTCCTATCTGGCCCCGCCCCCTTTTTCCTTTTCGAGACGATATGAGCTGCTTCTACTGTAGGGGATAGTGGTGAGACGTGGTAGGGGGAGATGTACGTCGGAAGCCAAAGCCTAAAGACGGGAATGGGAATGGGAATGGGAGATAGCTTGCACTATTATAGCTAAGGTAGCTATTGCTTCCTAGGTACTTAATGATCACGGACGTCAACTTGGTTCGCCTCGCTCATGAACCGTCTGTGACAGTAAGACAACAGGTGTGGGAGGTATGAACCCTGTGCTACATATTTTAAATATGGCTGGCATTGGGCTATCTATCCAAGTGCTCACTGCTACGCATTGAAATCTGAATGATGTCCTACCATCAATGCTGTGAGTAGCGGGACCTGGAGATACCCAAGTTATGGGTTATATAGGCACGCTGACAATTCTGAAGTCAGATATTCCGTGATGGCAGCGAGCAAGCAATGGCACAAGGAGTTGGGGAAATGAGACAGACAGAAGGTAAATTAACCAAGACATGTTTACTCTCGATCATGGCCTCAGCAAAAACGAACCAGATTGGCCGCCTAGGTGCTTTGCATATATCGAAACAGAAACCAAACATGGCAATATTAGTATTTGGTAGGCTGGTACGGAAAGAAGGCAAGCAAGCATAAACGCGAACAGCCCCACCCCGACCGACTGCGAGCGTTGCAGAATGTAAAGACTCCATCCAGTCCATACATGACCAATGCCAAAATGTCAAATAGAGAAGGAAAAAGATGAAATAGTTATACTTGCTTGCTGCTTGTAGGAATGGCCAGCAAAAAGTAAATTTCTCCCGAGTGTGATTCGAACACACGACCTGTGGATGATCTGAAAGATGTGACAATTACAGTCCAATGCGCTACCAACTGCGCCATCGAGAGTAGTTTGCGCAGTTTACATAACTGCGCGATGGCTGATTGTTGCACGCAGTAGAACTTTTGGCTGCTATATACCGCAAACTAGTTGTGGGCGTAGGGCTGCTTACCTACTTAAAGCAAGTGTGTCGATCCACAATAGTAGTGATGAGCCCCGTCATGTTGCAAGTTATGGTCTCGAAGGTTTGGTCATGGTGATGAGCTGCGTAAAGAAGTAGTACTGTTTTCCACTTTCTCGTTACTACCTTGTGAAGTAGTCCTCTCCCTTGGATTTGGAGCTCCTTAGGGTTTGAATAGCTGGGATTGAATCAGAGTGCCGCTTCGTTTCGTGTTAAGTCACGAATACATAATCTGTACTTTCTACCAATCGCCAGCCCTTGAATCAGAAACTGCATATGCTAAACATCCATGGACAGTGTTATTAGAAATACAACTGAATAGATAGACATGTGAGACATAGAGCAAGACCTCCCCCAGGCCAGAGCCAGGTCCACTCTAGCTGCCCACTGCAACAACATTCTTGGGGCAGCCGGAGCTCCAGGACCCGTAGCTTCAGCAGCACGCAGGTGTGCTACAGCAGCCCCGCCGCGCCGCCGTCATCATCAAGGTTCGCCTTCCCGTCGGCTCAACCTCCCGTCCCACCTCAGCTTCTTGGTTGCAGGCGACAGGTCATATGCCTGAAATGCTTCGGAATACAAAGCACACGCTGCACAGACTGTTGGTCTAGCCACCGTCAAAAATATCGTTCGTGAATTGCTATGAACAATCATCGACTACCACTTCCTCCGCCTCTATCGTGCATTGCTATAAACTGATCCAACACACACCCGTGTCACCGAATACGTCTGTGGCGTACCGCACCACCATATCCGCCATGTCGTCGACGTCGCTGCGACAGTGTATTCGGGATGTGTCCCCATACTTGATTCTGCTCATCGTTGTCAGCACGCTGGGGCCACTACAATTCGGCTTGCATCTCGTAAGATCATCTACTCCCAGTCGCTCTTTCTCAAGCTGCTCTGGGTTCCGGTTCCTTGTTGAAATCACCCTCTGTGTATATCTACATGTAGCTAATACGTACTTCCCAACGTTCACCAGGCCGAGCTCAACTCCCCCCAAGATGTCATCACCTGCCATGCCAAGAGCGAGTCCGTCTCGTCGAGGCTCTCGGCTGCTTTCAACTCATGGACCTCCAGGACACCCAGCAGCACCGCGACGACGACCTCGGGCTTGCCAGATTGCATTCCCATGGACAACGCCCAATTCGCCGTTGTTTCTAGCATGTTCACCCTCGGCGGTCTGATCGGTGCCCTCGCGAGCGGCCCAATCTCCTCCGCACGAGGACGTCTCTTCGCCATGCGTCTGACCGGCCTGTTCTTCCTCGTCGGGTCCATCCTGCTTACTCTCGGGGCTTCCATCTCCATGATGTCCATCGGTCGAATCTTCGAAGGTATCGGCGCCGGTGCTGCTACCGTGATCGTGCCCATATACATCAGCGAGGTAGCGCCTCCTCGGGAACGGGGCCTTTTCGGCGCCATGACACAGGTTAGCATCAATGTGGGCATCCTTGGCACACAGACTCTCGGGCATTTCTTGAGTTACGGCTCGGCATGGAGATGGGTCTTGGGAACGGGTGTCATCATTGCTGGTCTCCAGCTGCTCGGGCTCTTACTGGTGCCCGAGAGTCCCGCTTGGTTAGCCACGCATAACAACGTGGCTCTGGCCAAGCGTACGCTGCAGCGGATACGCGGCAAGAGCTTCGACATCGAAGACGAGACGGCCGTCTGGGCCGCTGGTAGCTCCTCCCCCGAAGAAGAGGCGCTCCTTGACGACTCAGCAACGACGTTGGTAGACTCAAACTCCAGGCGAGGCTCGAACTCGAGCAAAGCGAGCACCAAGTCCAATCACCATCTGGGCTTCTTCGACGTCGTCAAGGATCCGCAATACCGCCCTGCTCTCATTGCCGCTGTCGGAGTCATGTGTACACAGCAACTCTGCGGCATCAACTCCATCATCATGTACTCCGTCTCGCTACTTAGAGATTTCCTTCCTGTGAGTTCGTCATTGCTGACCATCGTCATCTCTGCCATCAACCTCATCACGACTATTGCCTGCTCACCACTCCCCGACAAACTGGGACGGAAAACCTGTCTACTCCTTTCCATCTTCGGCCAGGGCACTAGCGCATTGGCACTAGCTCTGTCTATTTTATTCCGAGCCAAGATCCTGTCCGCCATTGCCGTGCTGTTCTTCGTAGCCTTCTTCGCAGTCGGTCTGGGACCCGTGCCCTTCATCCTCGCATCCGAGATGGTGGGACCCGAGGCAGTTGGCGCGGTGCAGTCTTGTTGTTTGGGTGCCAACTACGTGGCCACGTTTCTGGTGGCGCAGTTCTTCCCCATTGTCAACGTCGCGTTGAATGAGAGGTTTGGGCGCGCGGGATGGGTCTACTTCATCTTCACCGTTCTAGCAGGCCTGTGCGGGTTATTTGTGTTCTGGCGGGTGCCTGAGACGAAGGGAAAGAAAGATGCGGATGAGGTTTGGGGCCGTACACGGCGCCTTGACTGACGAGGGTTATGACTTTTGACGAATTCACTCTTTTGGGACGAGCGGGCGTTTATACTGTTGTTTATCATTAGGTTGACTACATGTAGGGGTTTGTCAAAATGGACCAGGTCGCAGCCGCATATTCTTGATCACTTGGTCCAATTGCAGAATTCCTGCCCTGACACCGTCCACGACGTGCAATTGGCCATAAGCATAGATGTGTCCATACATGGCTTCCGCGGCCTCACGAATGATGTCCTCCAAACCAGCCATCCCTGCGCATCCCATGACGACGACGTGAACGCGCGGGAGGCCATCGTCACTTGCCAGCAAGCGCTGAGTGGCCTCGATGAGTTTCCGCCTCACGACGGCCGGGTCGACGCCGTGGTGGAAGTCGGAGGCGTTGAGACCTGTTGACTGGACACCTGCAAACTTGCGGTTCTTGTCGTCCTTGCCGGACCCGAGGAAGGCTTTGGCCCCGTCCTTGAGGTGATCTTCCCAGAACTTACCTGTGGTCACGATACCCCACTGCTGGTCTTCGTTCTGGAGTAGGGACAGCGCGGTGAGGATGGAGGCCTCGAAGATGCCGGTTACGGCAAAGTTGATGTTCATTGCATTGTTGGCGAGTTTCTGGAGTTTCTGCACCCTGGAAACCAGGGGGTGTACGCTGAAGCAGGCGATCAGTACGGCGTCGAATGAGGTGGTCCAGCTTTTGTCGTCGTTGAGACTGGATAAGACGGCCTCGGTGCTCTGGTCTATGTCGCCCTGGTCGTTGATGCTTGGAGGCGAGGAGGCTGGACCGGTGTATGTGTAGATTTCTGTTGACTGTATTCACAATGGGCCTTGTGTCTTTAAATTTTTTATTTAAAAAAAAAACGGGATAGCTGGAAAGTGGGTGACTAGTAGCATTGCTTGTACGCACTCTGGGTAAGTCTAAGGCGTCGATGGCGGGCTGGAGCCCATCGGTCATGGATTGTGAGGAGTTGGGGTTTACGACGAGGATGCGCGTACGATGGCCGCGGACGCGTTGGCCGAGGGGCTTGATGAGAGTGTTTTTAAGGTCTTGCTCGGTCATTGTTCAGACTATGAGATGATGTATACTAGTAATTTCGTGACGAGATGAAGCCTAGTCGTGTGACTTGGATTCCGGAGACGACTTATGCCGGCTCTTGGTTTAGTCTACGTACAGTGGATTTTTTGTCGAAGACGGGATTGGAAATGTGATGAAAGCTAGATCAAACTTGGTTATGCATGGCTGGTACTCGAGTCGAAATACTCTCTGGTCTTATGATCGTTTCTCCAACAACTTTAATCCTAGCCGGAGGTGGTGTAAGTCAACTTGAAGATGGCGAGGGGCGATACTCTGCGGGGTGACAGTTGGGGACCTGAAGGCCGAGTTACCTCAGTGGATTTGGGTAGTCGGGCACAGCCACAGTCGCAATCCATGCCAGGCATCCCAATTGTTACCGTACAGAAACCGTAGCACTCCGCTGTAGGTGAGCTGGGACGACGTGAGGCCAGCTAAACCCCGCCAATCCATCGCATCCCGTCACCTCTAACCTGCAGCTCCATACTCCTAGCCCATCCCACTCCATGCCTACTGCGTGCTAGGTAGCAACCCGAAGCTCACTCAACCACCTCAATCCACCTCTCTCCTCCCGCGCATCACCTTCAAGACTGGTCCCCTCCGCCGTTGAGCCGTGCCGTCCGCCTGACGCAAGAGAGCAACCATGGCGGCTCCTCCCATCGGTGAGTCTCGATACACACTCTCCGCTCCAGCATCCGAACCTCGTCGTTGCCTAGCCCGCCTGAGCGCATCGGCCCCAAACAATGCTGACGACGTGACACGCAGTCCTCGATGGAGGCACGGGCTTCCTCAAAGTCGGCTACGCCGCCCAGAACTTCCCCGAGCACCAATTCCCCTCCATCGTCGGCCGCCCCATCCTGCGCTCAGAGGAGAAGGGCGCCGACTCGGACATGGTCATCAAGGACATCATGTGCGGTGACGAGGCTGCCGCCGCCCGCACCATGCTGCAGATATCCTACCCCATGGAGAACGGCATCGTCAAGCGCTGGGACGACATGCAGCACCTGTGGGACTTTACCTTCTTCGAGAAGATGCAGATCGACCCCCGAGGCCGCAAGATCCTGCTGACCGAGCCCCCGATGAACCCCCTTAAGAACCGCGAGCAGATGTGCGAGGTCATGTTTGAGAGGTACGAGTTCGGCGGCGTCTACGTCGCCATCCAGGCCGTGCTGGCGCTGTATGCCCAAGGTAACCATGCTCTGCTTGCTGCCCCTATCCACTCGGTTTGATTCGCCAACTACGTCATTTAATGTATCTTGTCGCGTTGAATAGATAGATAGATGCTAAGGCGAGTCAAACACGCAACAGGTCTTTCCTCGGGCGTCGTCGTCGACTCGGGAGACGGCGTCACTCACATCGTCCCCGTCTACGAATC